CCCCGTGCCTGCACTCGCGCAGGAGCCGGCGGCTCTCCGAAAGGCATTAGCTCAAATCAGCGTCCGGCTCACTGCGCCCGCCAGTGATGCTACAGCCGCTTCCCCCCGCGCCGGGAAGAGAAGAAGGTCTCTTGCGAATCAATCTTCCATCGTAATTGTGCCTGCTTCAACGCGTTCGGTTGATTGGGGCAGTCTCTTGAACTGTGAAAACCTTTGAAACACGTTTAAACGCTCTTTGCAGGGCCACCAGGGCATGAATGGTGCTTTTGTCGGTGGACAATGGCAACCTCCGGCTGTCTCCTCAAGTAGACTACAATCTCTAGAAACGTGCTTTGTTCTGATAAGGCAACTGGGTATAGGCGAGGCCCAGGTTAACAAAAAAAAAAAAATCAGTGCTTCACGGAGGTTTTTGTGATGTTAATATGTTAACTTTCTTGCTGCAAGGGCTGCTGCTCATGGTGACTTGCCTTGGCTCAAAGGTGGGATGATAAAGAGGTTTTTGGTTACTCAGACACCTCCAGGGACTTGTTGTGCAATCAGGAGTGCTTTAATTTAAAACAGTTCCACCCGAAGCACATAATTTCATGCCTGGCATCCCATTTATAAAGCAGACTTCGGTCTAATTCCGAGTCTGATGAGCCGGGCTGATGCCAGGGGGTTGGCAGATCATCCCCGGATTAAGCAGAAGGGTTTTGTGCCTAGGCAGGAAGCGCTGCCTTTGCCACGTGCTCGAACCGGGAACTCTTGCTTGTGAAACCCTTCCGAGAAGCTTCACTTTCACTGGTTAACGTGCATGGGGAGTCTGCAGCACCAGCAGCCGTCTGCGTTTTCTTGATTTCCTACTCCTTTATCTGCCCGAAACTGTAAATGCTATTAAAACGTTTCATTTATTGCTGTTAGCCGGAGTGATCCGCCAGCGGCCTTAACTCCCTTCCCACCCACCAAGCCTATAATTGAATTTGATAGGAACAAGACGTTTCCCAGGTTGCCCGGAGCACGTGCTGGTCCTTCATCTCCCGCCTGGCCCGAGGCCGTTGTTCCCCCGGGGGAGGATGGAGCCGCAGCGTGCGGTGAGGGATGGCACGTAGGGAATGGGGCTGCAGTACTGGGGCGCTGCCACGTGCAGCGACCTCCACCCTGGAGTGGGGATGCAGCACTGGGAGCTACTCTTTCACCTATTGAAATGTAAAACAAAACGCACAAAACTTTCTTCTGTCATGTAAAACAGGTTTCTGCAGTTTCCTTGGGGACAGCCAGGTGCCTTTAGCAGGGCTGAAAGGCTCCTTGTCCTCTGCAAGGTTAAACCTGCAGGTGTGTCCACACTACAAATACCCTCGAGATAAGTCTCCTCCTCTCGCTTATTTATGTAGTTAAGCCTTCTGTATGCGTTTGCCTTCCAGGGAGGGCAGCTGAGTAAGGCAAGCCTAAGCCATCAGCACACAGGGAAAGTGCTGCTGTCTCCCTGTGCCGTGCCTTGACCTTCCTGCTTCCCATTGCCTAAAAGCCAGAGAGGCATCTCCGTTGCAGGGCTGTGGCTCTGCTCTCCTGTGGATCCGGAGCTTGTTGCTGGGGAGCACAGCAGCCAGCTGGGAGCAGGTGGTGCCTTTGGGTCCCTTCCAGCTTGCAGAAAGAGGTGGCATTTTGGGGTGGCCATCTTGTTCTTACGTAAGGGTGTGACACCTCCTCCTCCAGCCTGGGGAGGAACGAGTTGCCCTTCCTCCCTGGGAGAGGGGATGCCAGGCTGCTTTGCTGCGGAGCTGCATTTCTTTGTTGTTGATTGCCTTTAGCTTCTGGAATGAACAAAACTGATGTTTTTGCCCCAAAGCGTTTTGAGGAATCTGAAGGCCTGCCTGGTTTCATAACCCTGCCCTAAGCACTCAAACTGTTTCTGTCTCTGGCTAAGGGCACTGGGCATGGGCAGCCTCGTTCTGCAGCGTCAGTGAGGTTGTGTAAGTGAGGCTGACCAGTAAAACCCGAATCACCCACCAGGAGCCTCCCCACTACAGCTATTGCAGGCAGTGACACAGGTTTGCCTGCTGCTCCCTGTCCTTTCTCCATCCCCAAGTGTAGATCCGGAGGTGCCGTGAATTTAGGGTTTCTCTCAGCTGACCCATGGGATGAGCTGGCTGGAGTTTGTTACTTGGCTACTGCAAAACCATTCCTGACCTCAGGCAACTCATTCTGGAATATTCAGGAGCTGGGGAGATACTAGACCTGCCTGAAGTGCGGGCAACCCAAGTGATGAACTTGGAGATTTAATCATTATTCTTGGAGGGAGGAATTCGTGTTTATTTAGTGTTGGAAACATTCTGGGTTTGTATTGCTCAGCACAGACTGAGTGCTCTGTGTTTTCAGGTGTCCTTGAAGTCCTTGCTCCTCTGTTTGATTTTATAA